TCCCCCCCCTAACAACAGGACCGACAGCAGAGATGCACAAAAATGCGAAACGCATAATCCTTGTGGAATGTGATAGGATTCGAGCAGTAGAAAGAATAACAGTGACCACAGCTGCATGGTGAGACACAACTACTCTCATGGAGCGTTCAGAGTTGGCGATCGTACGTGCGATTAGGCGATTAGGCGATTGGGCGATTAGTCTATAATGAAAAATATACGTATAGATTAGGCGAGTAGGCGAGTAGGCGATGAGAGAAGGATGAACTGATTTGTTGCTCCGCCCATTAAACGATCGCCTACTCGCCTAATTTATACGTATATTTTTCATCGTAGACTAATCGCCCAATCGCCTAATCGCCTAATCGCACATACGATCGCCAACTCTGAACGCTCCATGAGAGTAGTTGTGTCTCACCATGCAGCTGTGGTCACTGTTATTCTTTCTACTGCTCGAATCCTATCACATTCCACAAGGATTATGCGTTTCGCATTTTTGTGCATCTCTGCTGTCGGGCCTGTTGTTAGGGGGGGGGGGAACATTTGCTGCTAACGAAAGAAGACACGTCAAAAAAGGTGTCTGTCAAACTTTCAGGCAACCAACGAAAGAATACCTGTCAACTCTTGTAGAAGTATGCTGAACTTTTTAAAAAAAAGTAATTAACAAGACAGAAGATGCCAAAAACTGTAATTCAGCTCCCTTCTATAGTGAAGCTTTATTTCTAAGACAATTATTTGAACGTTTTTGATTTTTTTTGTTCTATCAACTGCCTGAATTGTGTTGTTTTGTTGACTGCCTATTTGTTCAAGCAGGTATTATAGCCTCAGGCATGTTACTTTTGTTATGGTAGCCCATGCCCTATCCCCATTCCGCTGAAAACGCCCGAAATATTTGTATTTTTATTAAAGGAGGTCACGATAAGAATGAAGGTGAAATAAGAGGAAAACTGCATAGCTGGGAGACAGCGGACCTCCTGAGGGTGCTGACCGACGCGCAATTGGCAGCGAAAGATTTGACCTCGGCGATCTAGAATGGCTCTTGAATAGAACGATAGAACTTGAAGAGCCCATTCGATCAGTAAAATTCCATAGATAAGAGCGGTTTAATTTACCGGTAAAAAATGATTTTGAAAAAATATTTTTATTTTTATTTTATTTTTGAAAAAATATCTATGGACCGCTCTTATCTATGGGATTTTAGGGTACCTATTTGTTCAAGCAGGTATTATAGCCTCAGGCATGTTACTTTTGTTATGGTAGCCCATGCCCTATCCCCATTCCGCTGAAAACGCCCGAAATATTTCTATTTTTATTAAAGGAGGTCACGATAAGAACGAAGGTCAAAGAAGGGAAAATGCATAGTTGGGAGACAGGCGGACCTCCTGAGGGTGCTGACCGACGCGCAATTGGCAGCGAAAGATTTGACCTCGGCGATCTAGCATGGCTCACTCTTGGCGCGGTTGGCGGGGTACGCCCACTAATCACTCGCCGCAGGTCTATACGTGGCGAGTGATTAGATAGCAGAGAGAGCGTAGTGTTGAAGAGGGCACAGCGATGAGAGTCGCATCAATGCGCAAATCAACGGGCAAGGAAGGGGTCCCATTTCTCGGGTTTCGGGCCGTTTCAAATGGTTTCTTCTTCATCCCTGCTCCACTGACCACCTCTACCCTTATTTCCAATGAGCCCTTTTCATCGTGAATTCTGCCTTTAACCACCTTAAAACTTCAGCATAAACATCAACACTGGGCATATTTGCTTTTGTTGACTGCATCAGGAACAGTTATGACAGCATGTCCCCCCGTCGGACAACACACCTGTCTACTTTATTTTTTACGGAAATACACAGGTGCCGCAAATCGTTTGCAGTGTTGAGACATAACATCGACACTGAGGTGGTCAAGTTAAGCACAAAAATTGTTCTAGCGAATACCGCTGCACATTTTTCAACAAATATCACGCAAACCATGTTTATTGAAAATGAACAAATTTCATGGAGTGTTCACATATTTAAAAAAAATTCAAAAAAAAACTTGCACCATCACGAATTGGATTACATACACGTCAGACTGAGAGGCGAAAAACTGAATTTAAGTTTTTAAGAGATTTTCAAATAATACAATAAATTTTGGCAGTTTTTTCGAAGCAGCGAAGTTGTCAAGTAGAACCTCCACGGAGGCTCATTTCTATCAAATGGATTTTTTCAGTTACATTTCCTTCGTTTTCCTAGCCCGCCATCCGGCTATATTATACCAGTGGTTTGGTGGAAGAGCACTACACAGCTTTCACTCAAGAAAGTGGACCCATATCCTTGCTGCGTCTCGGTCTCCAAGACATACAAGTTGGTTATACTTGCGCCTTCATAGAAGTTCCACTTGACAGTTCCGTTTGTACAGAAAATTCAAAAAAAAAGTTACCATTGATGAGGAAGTTTAGTGAAGAAAGAAGTTGAAGACTATGATAAATGTTTACGCTGTCCACAGCACCAACTGCAATTTAAAGGCCTTAACATACCTGTGGGTGAGGCTGATGTCAGACTTTACGAGTCGAGCGATCTGCTCCATTGGCTAGCGCCCGCGCCCGCATTGCGGTACAAGCGAATCGAGGGATTCGTTGACCGCGACGCGACCGCGGACGCTAGCTAATCGCCAGTAGCGGATCGCCTGATTCACAAAGTCTGGCATCGGCCTAAGGAGAGCATTCAGAGGGTGCACTATTCAATTAAAACTACGCCCACTAAAAGATGCTGATTCGCATGAAACTGCGAACATTTACAAAGATCATTATTAGTATAGAAGTGTAAACCATGAAACAAACAAAGAACAGCAGGAGAAATGGTGATGTCACAACTTCTTGCATTAGAAGTGATATTGAGTTTTTAATGAACATTATGATCACAACAAATTGCCACAGAAAAACAAAAAACGCTAGAATTAACACTAGGAATGCCAGTCGTAAAGGATAGCTGAGCGTTGTACCAACGGTAGGAAGTTCATGTGTAACATCACGGTAAAGTGATACACTACCCGTTGAGCAGTAGGTACGCAGACGTTGACCATTTGGATTCTCCAGCATAAAACTATCGAACAGCGGGTCTCGTAAAGATAATGCTCGTCTTGCTGCATCGGCATCTGCCCAGTCGATACGTCCTTGAACACGCAGAAATTCTATGTTCAGCTTCCCATCCATGAAGTCCTTAACAAAACTTTGCCTTTCAAACTTCGCTTTTTCAAAAACTCATGAATATAACAAGTTCGCTGATGCATTCGCAGCTAAAATATTATATTTCGATAGAGATTCGGAGTGAGCGTAAATAGGTATCTATTTATAGCGAGGCAAGATCAAAGCGGGCAGAGATACAGGTGAGTAGTGACACGATGCTCCTTCAAAAAAAGAAATCAGATGCTAGGATATGTCATTCTGCTACATATTTCTCTACGTTTCTTGCCTTGCCGACACGATCTGTGTGGAAAGCCGACAATGATTTCAAATAAATACATAGTCACACACAGAAGCTATTTGGGTTTATGCCAAATACCTGACTTTCATAGACCAGTATAGAATAACATTAGGTTCATCCCAACTATCTGACTTTCATAGAACAGTATAAGATAACAACACGACATGGTTGATCTTTCTACTATGTTTGCAAAACTAGCACCTAAAAACCTCAATGGGACTCTGTCCATATCGCGGCTGTGCCGCGATTTAGGCAGTCCCGTTGAGGCTTTTAGTTGCTGACGACTCTTGTCATGAAAGGATTCCACTACAGGTTGATTCTCTCCGTTTTCTGTGTAAGAAATGGATGACTCTTTGAAGAACTGCCTCGGGTGCGACTCGAAGAAGTTGGACGCCAATGTTGGCGTCGTCAAAGTTCTTGTACTTCTTCTTGGCTAACGTGTGCTGTGCTGACCGAAGTGGACGTTAGTTGGAGGGCACGAAGTCAGCTGTGCTGGCACACAGCGTTCCATGTCCTATTCTTCGACTTCTTCTTGGAGTATTTCCGCATCTTGCGTTTTTATAAATCAATTTCATATTGGACAAAATGAGTGCTTGATGACGCAGCTCTTGGTCCAAATAGGCGACGTTATGTGCGTAGAGTCACCATAAGTGCCTAACCCACAATAAACACGTCAAGCTACACCAGCTCTGTCCTGCAAGCCAGTCCCGTCTCAGCTGTCCATCTGTTGCCAACCACGGCCGTCTTCTCACTGCGCATTATCGAAGACATCCATTTCTCGAATGCCCTCACAACAAAGACAAAAATTCTGTTTTCTTCCAGGTGCGGGACAGAGTTCCACTGCTGGCAGCGTGTACAGTTCGCTCGCTTTAGTGAGGAAATGCCGAACGCATTTTTCTCACTGATTGGCCTTACTAGTCAAACCTAGAAGCTTTCAAACTTCAGTGTTGACGCATTCAAACCTTCATGCAAGTTTTTGTGTAGTTTGGCAATGGCTCGATTCGACGAATTTCTTCAGTACTTTGTTATGAACAGCTCAGGTCGGTAGCATGTTCTTCCTCCTCACATTTACCTCAGTCTTGGGAGCGACGGAACCGTAGCTGTAATTGCCTCTAAGACTGAATTTGCTGTTGAATGTTTTGTATACTATATGATAAGAATCAGGGAACGCTGTTCCTTGTTTGAGGGTGTGCCATATACGCAGAAGAGGCGATATTTCGGACTCAACGTGTTCAAACAAAGTTTTTGATAACAGAAGACATCTTTTCCTGGCATTTAATATATCCTGCTGTGCGCCAGAGATTGTACCTTTCAAAAATTACCAACGCCTTGTGAGACATTATGTTTCAGCATAGAAACAATGTCATAAGTTGAGCGACATTTATTTTCGGCCAACCTAATATACCTAGTGGCCTCCCAAATTAGAATAGCGCTGAACAATTCTTCAAGACACAAACGCAATAAAACTGATATGAAAGTTCCGCTCACATATGAAGGTAATAGAAGCGAGATGGACCTTCAGTGGCGAAAAAAAAATAAAAACAAGATGTCAATTCACGGAAGATACACGACTTTTCACTCGACGCTGTGGGAGTCTAATGGTAAGAGGCGATCAGCGAGGTAAGAGGCAGTGGATGCCGAGAACCGGAGAAAAGCACTTTCAGACGAGAGAGCATAACAGATTAGCAATATGACATAGATGAGAAACCGTTGCTGATCCAGGGGGCAGGCGTGGACCCTAAGACTTAAAAAATACGCGTTAGGGACATTTCAAGGCACGGAAGATGACCTCCGCAATGCAAGCCCAATAACTGTGTACACGGTTGAAGTGAGCATTTTCGAAAAAAAGTGATCATGGGTCGTATTTCTCTATTTTTTTTCAACATAGCGGACGCTCATGCGCTTCCCGCCAGATAATAAAAAATACATCGTTCACCTTCGTTTGATTGTTACGTCAAAAGACCCAACCCAAATATAGCTTCCCTACAGCTACACATGCGGACATGCCAACTGAGCGACTTCATGGTAGGATAGTTCAAGTTATCAACTCACAAACAGTACTCGCTGGAAGTCCTTGAATGAAAACTCTGCGTGCCGGATTCTCTCCAGTATCCATGTGTTCCCTGCTCCTGCGTGAAGTACGAAACATGACAGCTGCAAAGTGTGCTGGCAATACTCTGGTGTGCAAATTTGCAATCGTAGTTCGCTAGCGAATCGCAGGATTTGAGCGTTGCACCAGCGAATCGAGCTGTGTACCAGCGGATCGAACTATGTACCAGCGGATCGAACGATGTACCAGCGACTCAACACTGTTTGAAAGTGGCGAGGACTCCCTCTCGTTTGCATGTTGACTCTCGCCACTTTCCCGAGCTCTCATACCCTCTCACTCTCTCATGCCCTCGTGAGCCCGGGAAAGTGGCGAGAGCCAACGTTCAAAGGAAGTCCCGCCACTTTCAAACAGTGTCGAGTCGCTGGTACATCGTTCGATCCGCTGTACACAGCTCGACTCGCTGGTGCAAAGACTCGCTAGGATTCGCAAAGCCTGACATCGACCTTACAATGTTTTGCGTAAGTTCACTTGGGTCCGAAGAGACGTTGCTCAAAAGTGATTACACACGTCTAATTCAGCGTTGTCAACCGTCGCTTTTATCCAGAATTTCTGACACAACCGCAAAAAGCTGAGGGAGTTGTCTGTGAGACTTCCCATTTTTTTCAGATCAGCGACCAATTCCCGACATCTACTTCGTGTATGGAACTTTTGAAGCAGCAGACACTCTTTTACTTCAAAAAAAACCTTTAGCAAATACTTCACTCCCTTTAATGGTGCCCCATAAATTCACGATATCCTAACGATTCTCTTTCGAAACGTTCTTGCTCATGCGAACAATGCCGTTTCGTGTGCTCCTTTTTTTCCTTTTTTCCCTTACAATCCGTAGGATCACATCGCATTCGGAAGTGGGCTGGCTCGCATTTCAAAAACGTACTTATCATTTTCACTCACACTTCTAACGTGCTCATATTTCAGATCTCGCCATAATTTCATCGAGAAATCGTCCACTCGTCTCATTTTGATAACCATTCTGTCGACATGATGCGTCTTGAGGAATTCAGCGAAATCGTTCGCATTGCATGTAAATTTGGAGTTATTAGCAGCCAACACAACAACCGTGATTCGCGATCTTCTCAGAGCACGTGAAAGCAGTTGGAAAATGGCCCATGTCACTTCAACCTGAAAGGCGGAACCTATCGTGTTATGAATATAATATTGCACGGACGTGCTCGATTCAAGGCCACAGCTGTTAACGTCAATACTGGGAGGCAACGCAGCAGGACATTTAAATAGAAATCATTGAAAATGCTGAAGATTCGTAGCCTTATCACCCGATTCGAGTAAATTAAGCCTTAAATCTGTTGCAGTTCATTAATGGGCCATTTGGTTCGGAGATGTCTGTCTGTTCGCTAATGCTCACTCACAAAATACAAGATGGGCCTAAATTATATAACCGCGGTCAAACCCATCTTTTCTAAATCGCTATTTTTTGCCATCTCCTCCTGCTTATGTGATGGTCAGTTCTCACTGGTGAAACAATCAGACGCTATGTCGATTTCCAGATTGAATCCACCTCGGCGTAGAGCGAAAATTCTGCAGAGGGTTTTTTGATTTCATGATTTTTGAGCAAATGTTTCGAAGAGTCCAACCTGCAGGGCACCACCCCGTCATTTCCTGGTATTGCTTGGCGACATTAGTAACCAGTGAGTGACAGTGCGTGGCTTTGCTTTTTTCATCAGGCTAATATTCGTTTTTAGCGACACAATTTCTTTGTAACCATAGTTGCGGTTCACCATGTACATTGGATTGGGCCACTTCCGAGCTGTTGTGAAGGGAAAATAAACTTGTGATTTGGCAAAAAGAGTTTCTCGTCCATTTGAGATTGTTATCGTTATTATTGGAAAAAGTCATCCTGTAGAAGCGGCTGTACAACACAGCAAGGAGTTTTGCTGCATTGACAAGACAGACGCCTTCAATTCGTGATCATGAGACCGAACACGAATTTTGAGGATGATTCGAGGAGAGACTTCTTCAAGAAACTTAAAGAGGCGTGGGGGACAATGGGCCCAAACCGCACAAGACAGTCAAAAATGGAGGAAAACGTGTACTCGCCGCTGACGACATCGGCCCACAATGAGCATCCAAGCATCCAAGCAAGTAGATGGACAATTGAGACAACTAATTTGCTATTTACCTGATCGAAGTACAACAGTGAGATCGTTGCACCGTAGAAACTGTCGAGCTCACGAGAAATACATTTTTTATAAAGAAAGTCATTGTCTGATATAAAAGAGTCCTGAAATTAACGACTCAGTTAAACTTATTGTCAGCTGCGTATTTCTAGATCAAATACCGAGTCAAAGTGTTCCAAGCTGATACGAATGTACTAGTGCTGACAAACCTGAAGAACTGCCACCGTAGCGATCTGGCGTGGTGGAAGATGATTCCAATTACGAGCAATAAGACGATTTATCGATCGACATACAAGACGAAGTGACTGTAGAACACTAACGGGCGACTGAAAAGGCCAACCTTATCTGAACTGTAAGTAGTTTTATTACTGGGAAAATGTCATAAAGGCACAACCCAGACAGAAGTCGTGTAAACAATTTTCTTCGGTCTGTAGGAGAGACCCCTCAAGAAAGATCCCGGATGTGGCGTTTCCGTCCACGGGAATCACATGGCAACAGCGCTAAACTTTTCAAAGTAGGCGGCTGCAGCTGCATTGCTGTCTGTAGCCCTTTTATCTGTTGCGCTCTCCGCTCCACACTCTCCTCTCCTCGCTCAGTCTCTCATTGCCTTCAGATAGCCGCAAAGGTGAGCAAGATCTTAAATTTAGGCGATATCAACCGATTCTTTCCTTCTTCCTCGCCTCCCGCCCGTTTCGTAGCTAAACTTTTGTTTGTGCACAAAGCACAGCAGTTTGATTCTTTGGCATGCCTCTAATTCCTGATATCCCATTGCTAACTTCAAAATTAGAGCGTTTAAAGAGCATAAGTACTGACTTGTTGCAATATTTTCAATTGCACTTCTGGTGGAAGTCTCTGGAAAGGAAATGTTCCAGGAAAAGAGCAATTCGTCGATCTTTTAGCCATTAGCTTATTCTCTGCTGTACGACGTCGGTGTGTTCTGGGAGGAGCGAAATCTGTAAAGAGGAGAGTGAAAGCATTCCCTTGTCATTCCTTCACCCACGATACTTTAGCTCCAGTGTTCTGTTCAAATATCCAGTATTGTAGATTTGTTGCTTTCTGGTTAAGTTCTCAAAACCGAATGGTAGTTGAACAACGATTTTGAAAAAAAATACCAACGTAGGCAGTAGGGAAATAGTACAAGGTTTTTGATACAAATCATTTTTGAAATTATCTATAACCAAGAAAACTTTAGGTAAAAAACAATCCTCATGATACATCACTGTTCGCCATTTTTTGAGCAGATATTTGATGCAGCTTTAGCAAACAGCTAGTTAGCTTTGATTCAAAAAGTTGCTGAGCCAGTGGTCCACGTCATTTTCGTCACTGAAGTTTTTTTTTCCTTCCATGGTGTTGGAGAAGTGACAGGAAAGTTATCAACCTGTTGGATGAGGCAACAATTTCCACCCAAGTTCGACTTGTCCGGCAACTTAATCCTCCAATGTGTGGACAACGTTGTCGTATAAGGATCGGATCAAACCACGATTCGCACGTTCTGCGATACTGGCAGCCAGATTATCCAGCTGATTATAGTAGAGGCCTGCCGTGAGGATGACGTCACATGGGAGCAGCTCGTGGTGGATGATGTCTTTGCAGTCCTGCCTAACACAGACCATAACCTTCAGAGGGTGATGACCTATCTTCCGTAGTATCATCATGTAAGCTCCTAATGCGAGTGAGCCACCTTGTTCATGCTCTTCGAACACCCGCCATGCTTTTATTGGCATACCATTCAAACCAACTGACCCACAGACATAGCCACGTACCTTTTCGTCCTCGTAGGAAGATCTACAGCACTGTCTTTTTCTGTGAGATGGGCCCATATTGAGGAGCAAGTTTTTGTCCTGGGTTACTTTGACATCCTCTACAGTTTTGATGAACACTCCTCTTATGAGACATGAATGTTTTCTGTTTGTCTCCCTCCACTAGTGCACGTCATACCTTTTGCGTCTCTTTCCGCGAACAGACACAACCACGTACGTAACGCGCGCCATAAGTAAAGCTGGCATAATGTGCTTGCGTCCTTTCCTCTAGTTCCTTCCCGTTTCTTCCTAAACGCACGAACATCTGTGCTTCCACCACCGTCATCATGCATCCAAAGCGATTTGAAATTGGAAAGGTTGGCTGCTTATGTGTTCAATACGGTTTTTTCAGCGTTGCATTGTCGAACGATTTTTAGCCTCAAATATCTTCATTAAGTGTGAACATGTGCATTCGAACACGTATGCGTGTTTCAGGATGAGGATAGTCAGGAACACGGCCGAAAGATCAGCCGCAACGGCAATATCACGCTTTACAAGCGCTATATATTGACGCCAAGTGGACTCTCCATGGGAACGCATCGAGAAAGAGGTAAGAGAGACCCATTTTTGCAGAAAAGTAAAACAGTGTGAGTTTTTGGGGAAATTCTGTTTTCCTTTTGAAGGACCTTCTCTGAGTTTTAAATTTAAAGCATTTCGGGTGTTCTGTCTTGACAGCATCGTTTCGGTTGATTTGAGCTTTTAGTGGATCAAGGATCTCTAAGGAGGTTCAAGGAGATACTCCTACAGTAGATCTGTTAGGCAAAAGGAAGGGCTTTTCTAATCGTTCGAGAGCACCTTCCCTAACGCGAAAGTTTTTGGGCAATTTTTCGGATTACTATGGAAGCGGTCTCTTCGACTAGCAAAACAAGAACGGCCCTAAATCTTTTTTTATGGTATCGCTGTGGCTCAATTCCCTTATTGCTGCTTTTTCATTCGGCTCCTCCAAGCTGAAAAATTGATGGCGTTTCAATTTCGAAGACTGCGCAGCCATGCTGGCGATTTCATTCGGAGTCTTTTCCAATTTCCAACTTGCTTGGAAACGGACGCTCTACTTTCTTTTAACAGCTTCACTTAATACATCGGCTTAGCGTAGTTCATAATGTTAATGGCTATTGCACTACAAAACAGGCTTGATTCTAGTCAATTTTTCGGGAACTCTGGAAAAAATAACATCCCAGTTTATCGGAGAAATTGAACTGTTAAGCCTCTACCTCATGTTACCATGAGCCTCACTAACTGAGAATGTTTTAATCTTTCAGACTTTCTTTTTTTTACGGAATCATAGATGATCAGGCCAACTTTCAATCAAGGGTTTTTCAATTAAGGATTGGGAATGGCGCAAAACAAAAACCGCGCCATCTTTCATGAGGTGCTGAGCAATTGTATGGTGCTGTACTGGCTTTGGGCCACTGGAGTGATAGCACGAAATGTGTAATAGCCAAGTAGTCCCCATCTAATTGCGTATACCAAAATCTGGTCTCATTTCGGTATTTATTTTCAGTTCTTGCGCATGTGTAAAGGGTAGGTTAGGGTTTAGTGGTTACAGGGTGGCGGGGAAGTATTTTATTTCAGTTAAAGTCTGGGAAGTTTTCATATGCCATCGTATACTGCAGTTACAAAGTCAAATGTTAGGAAGTTGATGGGATAATTTGAAGTTACGGTACCTTTTTGTAGTTTTCTGCCAATCATAAATTTCGAGCTGCTTTTGTTTTTTTACGCCAATCATCAGACTGGAACGATTCGATGATTGTATGAAATATGGTTGGAGTACCGGCTGACAAAAGCTGTATATGAGAGAAAACCTGCTGAGTTTGCAGAACAAGTTTGTTCCTGGGATATCCTACTTCGGAGGCGGTCCATTAGCAAAGATTCATTGCAGTTCCTAAGCAGCAGTCCTGGCGGATCCAGCTCGCGTCGTCGAAAAATGAAGAGGTGCTCGTCGTAGGCCAAGCTATCGAACCTAGCCCAAGGTTTTTCCGGCCCATACACCGGCTCATTCGCACTTGAGAATTCCCCAGCGTTCAGGCTTTATCAATTCGATTGTAAGTCACGTCCCTTGCTCTCACGACAATCCTCTCGGAAAAGATTCACACCCAACTTTACATTTTGGGCGACGTTGTGTTGTTTGTCCTTCCTTTTTGTCACCATCATGCCCTGGTTTCGAAACGCGATGGATTTACTACACAGTAATCCGTAAGTCACTTGTAAATGGGGTTGGACAATTTCAAAGCCTTAACAAGAGTTTCTTTCATTTGTGCTTGAATTTGGCCACTGGGAGGGGGAGGGGGTGTTGACGTCTTCCAGTAGAAATAGGAAGCATTCGTTGTGTTACGAAGATGAGGCAAATTTTGTTAACCTGCGTAGCTCCCATTCAATGGGAAAATCTCACGTGAAGAAGCAAGCTGAGCAGGTATAAAATCGCTGTTGTTGTTTGATGTGAGAACTGCTTTCTGTTTACCAACACCAGGCTCTCACTCCTGAAAATTCAATAACTTCGGCTCAGAGGATATCAAGGAAATCTTTAGCTCTGATTCTATTACAAACTCTTCATTATACCTTGCATTTACCTCTGGAGTGCGAGCAGTACATTGGTAACACTTCTATGCGGTTTGAGGGATCTATTCCGCCCAGGTTATCTTTGTCTTTACCCCTCTTGGCTCCTAAATTAGTGTAAGGTTTTGTTCAGAAAAAGTGTGACTCTGATAAATGAATGATAGTCTTCGCGTTTCAGATTGGGCCCCATAAGCAAGGTCAAATCGTGCGTTGCTCAGTTTTTAACGAGGGGTGGCGTATTTGAGCTTTTTCGAGGGGCGAGTCGTATTTTGGGTTTGGTGAAGGTTGATGGTGGAGGAAAGGGGGTCGTATTTTTGGAGGCTGAAAGGGTCGTGGTGGTTGGTTGATTGGTTGGTTGTGGTTGCGAAGAGGGTGCCGTTTTTGACAAGTGATCTTGGCGAAAACATGAGACCAGTGTGGAATAGGGAAAGAATGGTAGAGGATTTGTTTTTGACATAATTCGTCCTTTCTCTATTGTCCCCCCCCCCTCCGCCCATCCCGCTCTATTGTTTTGAAGGAGGGGAAAAGTGGGCGGGATGGGGCATCACAGAATCAAATACCATGGAAACAGCGCGCGCAATGGTGAGGATGGTGGTCGGGGATGGGGAGGAGAGGGTCGTATCGGGCCCGTAAGGCTGATGGTGGTGTGAGGGCCTATCGAGACCTTCCCAAATCAGGTGACCTTACATACGGTGTTTTCGCCTTTGGTGGTAGGGTATATAGTAGCGGTGCCAAAAATCGTGAATTTTTCACGCTTCAAAACTTTCTACGTGGAATTTCTGTGTCCATCACTTATGCAAGCAGACGACAAAGCGAAAATTATGCTAGCCGTGGTACCTTACAGTTAAAAGAGGGATGCACGATAAGGTCAAAATTCGGAGAAAGGGTTATATCCGTAAAGGAAAGCCAGGCGGTCCCGTGGTGCGGGATGATGTACGCTTTGCAGCGAACGGTATGCCCCTAGCGCCTAGCAG